TTTTTTTTTTTTTTTTTTTTTTTTGGCGCATCATTATTTTCAGAATCTGGTCAGTAACATTGTATGCCGATCAGCGAAAGTCTAAAATTAATACTTGCAAATCTGGATCAAATGTGATAAAGATCAAAAACAGTTAATCTGTTCCGTTCAACAATAAATAACATTTAATTTTTTTGTGTATAAAATTACCAAAATTAGCAAAATTTCAAAACATTTTGATTTTTGATCTACAAAATCTGCCTTAGTTGGTTTTGCAAACACCTAGTCTAGTCTAAATAAAAATATCTCTTTGTAATACTAAGTTTTAGTAGATGACAAAAAAAAATAAAATTTTTTAACTTAATTTGGAACAAATTATATTTTCTCAAAAATATAAAAAGACTTATTCCTGATTAAATTAAATTTGTTTTTTTTTTGTCGGTGAACAAAAGGGCATTCAGAAAATGATAAACCTATAAAAACTAATCTAATCTTGGCAACAAAATCAAATAAAGTTTATAAAAACTTTTAAAGATTTGAAAAATACAATTTTGCACTAAAATCAAAAAAATTGGTTTCATTAATGAAGGTTTCAAAAAATCACTTTCCCTCATGTCTAAATTTTACCAACGTAGACAGACTAATTGTCGTGTATTGATAAGGCAGAGCAGAGAAAACCGCTTTTATCATCATTTCTTTTCCAACAACAGGAAAGAAAAAAAAAACAAAAAATATTATCAAAACTTTATGAAAAACTGTACCTATACTGCATCTTAGAAGTGGTTACAATTCTTTATAATTCTCTACAGGAAGTTTTTAGGGGAAAAAAATGGTAATACTGTGCTTTGTTTCAATAATTTTTGTTACCCTCGTTTCAAAAATTGTTTCAGAGGAAAATTAAGCTAAAAGTGCCGCAAAATTTCCAATATTATTTCTTGATTATAACAATTTAAAAATGTTCCACATGCAATTTGGTTAAATTTAGCCTGTTTCGGAACAAATCAGAGTAACAGAATTGACCACGACTAAAGAAATTAAGAAAAACTTTCTGAAGTTATTCAATAGTTTTTCTGTAACAACTCGTAAACCTAAAGGTTAAAAAAAATGCTGTTATTTATTGTACTTTAATCGGCCGCCATACTGAAATTAAAAAGAAGCGTTAGATTTATCTTATGGGGTTGTGTCATAAATAATTCTACTTCTACAAAAAACAAAAATTTGAATTTTACAAGCGCTCTAATGTTTTCTTCTATTCTGTGAGCGAAATTGCCTGTAATGAAAGTTTTCCAGAGCGGAAAGTCACTTTTCTCTTTATTTGTAATTAATAAAATTAATGGAAAAAACTAATAATTTGTAAAGATCATTAGCGAGGAAGTAATCGGTTTGAGAAAAAAGAAGTAACAATAGAGTAATATTAAAGAAGCAGTAATGTCAGATGTGTTTTTTTTTTTTTTTTTTTTTTGAAACATAGAAAGGAGATTTATCTTCTACTTTCATCGACGACTAAGATACGAACACACTTGCATAGGATGTTGACATTCTACAAGATCCGCTGCTAGAGCATTATAAAGTCATCGCTTGTTGCACTTTGTTCTTGAAGACTAGGGCACATAAGTTCTTTCGCCAGCAGGTCCAACTTGACGCTTTCCATGGTGGAATACAGAATAACACAAACTTGCTTCTTGAAAACTCCTACTCTTTTTAACAATCTACAGTCGATCAGTTTGCACTAGTACTGTGAAGTGGTACTAGATATTTACTTTTCTTTGCAATAAATTTCCTTCTGGATAAGGTTAAGCAGTGAATTATCTCATAAACCAAAAACTAAAGTTAAAGAATTCCTTCGCAAAGTCCACTTCGGTGCATTCTTATTATCAAGCTTCAATGTTATTTTACGTGAGCAATGAAATAACCAAGTTAATCACATAAAATTACATGAAACAAATGCATAAAAATTTCATCACAATCACAGATACGACAATTTCAATCTTAGCTAAAAAATGGCTAAAGTAGAAAAGTAGTACGTAAGTGACGTAATCTTAGAAATTTTGCTACGGAATCCTATACAGCTCTGATACAGCGATGCTTTTCAACATTTGTTTTGGTCTTTTCAACCAAAACCTGACTGTAGCAAATTCTTTGCATGCTAAACACGGAAGGACGAGGAAACACCACAGTAAATTATTGAAGAAGAGTATTATTTTCTTATAAAAATGAAGTGCAAATCTGACAAATTTAGTGTGGTTGAGATGCATCGTTATTGAATTAAATTTAAAATCCAAAAAATTTAGTCTATTCGGCTTTTTATTATCCTTAATTTTCAGAAATTTCAAAATATAAAATGCGTATGTAACTGCTTCATTTTTTACTGCCTCAAAGTAATTGTTATATTAAAATAGAGTCAAGACTGCTCAAAAGAAGTGCTCATCAGGAATCTTAATGGAAGCCTTGTTTTAGCAGGCCTTCAACGGTAGTTTTGACTTCCGCATATTGTGGAAAAATTTTGCCGCAAAATTAGGATTAACTGCTGAACGAAAATTCAGGCATTATTGAATCTACTATGACCTTGAAATTCTAGTATTTTCCTACAATACCACCTTTCTCTTCGTCCTGCTGGTGTCTTTACAAGTAAAAATTTTATCTCAAAACTTTTGTTCAAGATCGATCTTTGACGTTCTAATGACATTCGAGTTTTTTCGAAACAACCTTACTCGCAGCACATTAAGATTGTAAACGTTGAACTAGAAAATGAATAACGGTCTCTTTAAATCATGAGACTTCAAAACAGCTTGGTAACAAAATGTATTCAAATTTCTTTAACTTGAGGTTAAGTTTTTACTTGTGCTAAAATATATATAATTTTTGTAAACACCATAGAATTTGGTCATCAAAAACCTTTATCTGATGAATTCTTTCAGGATAATAGTGAAATTACGCTCTAAAGCTTTTTTTTTTTTTCATTGTTGTTGTTGTGCCTTAAAAATGTTTCTGTAGTAACGTTATATAGTAAATACTATACTCTCCCAACTTCACCTATTACGAGCATATACCGCACGAATTTTTAA